TATTATTATTTTTTTTTATAAATTTTTGTATTATATTTGTTAAACTAGACTGTATAGTATGACCCAATGAAATTTAGTTTTACTTTTCAATACTTCCAGAGATATTATTCACTCAAACCTCGAAGGAGGCACTTTATTTTGTTTGTCACCACCTATAGTATCGAATCAATCCTATTTGCCTGATTTTTATTTAAATGGAACACCATATTGGGATATCCTGAGCTAGAAGGGTAGAGGTCCTAAAAATTGCCAGGGCAGGAGGATCTGTGAAGCATTTATGCTAGGTTAGACCAGAAGTCTTTCTTCATACAATCCTTCCAATAATATGACCATAGATCTCAATCCCTGATCAATGAAAGACTAGAAGTCTCATCTTTATGCAGCCTAACCTGATTGAAAATTGTCCTAGATGATTGAGTATGAATTTCATAGAATAACTGATAAACCTGATCAAAAGGATAATTTTGATTTTTGGTTCTTAAGTAATATTGAACTATAGATCTTGTGATTGCAACCTGAGAGTACTACCACTATACTATTGATCTACAGGTCTAAATCTTATTTTTTTTTTATAAGTATATTGACTGTTATTATATATTCTTCTACCTTTTTCACTAATACTATTTTTTTTCGGATCTTTTTTTATCAATATATTAACTCTTATACTATATAAAATATTTTTGTTGGTACTATAGAAATGCTTATATTATATACTGTTTAATTTTGAAAACCCTATTTCACCTTTGCTTTAATTAGCTTTATTTCACATAGGCCTATAATTCCAATACCTTTGTTTTTATATTTCTTCTATAGAACTATATTGATTTATATTATCAGTTTTTTAATTAATAATATATAAAAACAAGTTAATTATTATATAAATTTTTTTAAAAAAATCTTTTTACTAATCTTCTGTCTATATATAAAAAGATATTTGCAAGAAATTTTATATTTTTTGCTAATAAAATCTTAATACTATTTTTAAATTAATTTAAAAATTTATTTCAAAAGTTATTTCTATATTTCATTTTATATTTATTTTTATTTTTAAGTAAAAATATGATTTTTAGTAACCTAAAAAAGTCAAAAAATATCTTATTTATCTATAGCAAGAAAGTATTGTAAAAAAAAAAAACTAACAATATAATACTTAAAGCTTTTCATATTAAAACATATCTATAAAAAATTTCTGTAATAAAAAGTAATAAATATCAAATTATATTTTTAAGATTTTTTTTTTTTAATCCACAGTCAGGTCAGCATGGCATATCTTTATTGTAGGTATTTACAAATTGTTATAACTTTCACATACTGACTCACTAGTCATCGAAAAACTATTTCTCTAAATGCAATCTAGAGAATAATATTTTACTTCTTTACTAATTTGGATAATTCCTCTAATTAATAAAATTATTACCTACAGATCATTACTGTAGCTATTTTTAAGATTTTTATTCACTATATCTTTTTTCATATAATTATCTATTTTCTTGACCTTTTGAAAAATTTTATCTATCTTAGTTTGATCCCTTTTTTTTAACGCTAGCTCAGCCTTGTTTTATTTGTATATTTGCTGTAAAATTACATAGGAAGGCTATTCTAGAACTTACTATCTGTTTTCTATTAAATAAAACTCAATAGAAGATTTCCTTTATGAAAGCACTCATCTTGCGGCTTGTTACCACCCCTTGTAAGAAGATTAACTTGTCAAGGCTGGACTAGTACTGAAATAAATTTCAAAGATAAAAGAGTTGTCTATAATGTTTGTGAGTTACTGATCCATAAAGTTATTGTCATAATCTTTATTAATAATATACTTGTACATTTATATAAGGCAACTGCCTTGGCTTCAACCACTTTACATTACTCTTTGTATACTGATAGACAATATATATACTAATAAGTACTTATATATCTGCTTATATTAATAACCTATATACTGTACATAAGTAGCTTCTATATATTTACTAACTATGTATAAGCATTACCTTATTGAAAAATCATACAATTTCTTCTTAATTATTTATAGACCATTTTTATTAAGAGTAGTTTAGTTATCAGGCTGTCAAATTTTCTTTATTTTGGACTCAGATTTTGGTCCTTCGGAGTGGTCAATAGATTTCTCTTCACACTAAAACCTCTCGATTATTAAGTCTATAAGTTAAGGCATAGTCATATGCTTGAAGTCTTGAAATCAGATAAGATCTTTAGTCAGTCCTTCCTCAGCGATATGCAACCAGTTTAGGGATCTACTCTTTTTGTTACTAGCAGATGGTAATGGGGTCCTATCAAGGATAATTCTACTTGATTTCAGATAATGATCTGATTACAATCTTTGTATAGACCATCCTATGTTATGAAGATCTTGATTTTTAATAAGAATCAGTGAAAGTTATCAATCATCTTGATATGCATCAGCTATACTCAAAAACATCAGTTATATATAGTTAGGTCAATAGATGATATGTCAGATTCTATCTGCTTGTAAACAGGGAAATTACATTAGCTCCCTGAAGGATTTGAACCTGCATCTTGTGATCTGATCTATGAAGTGCTAACCATGGCACTACAGACTTGTAGGTCTCTTAGTTTGATCCTAAATTTTAAATAATACAATCTATTATAAAATATAATTAATAAATATAAAATATATTAGTAACTAAATATAAATATATATCTATTGATTACTTTATATATTCTAATATTGTTATTGATAACAAAATAAATTGATTGATATTACATTTTTGTTTATTTTTTTAATTAAATTAATCTACAAATCAAATTTTATAAAATTAATAAAATATAAATAACAAGTTTACAAATAGTAAAAAAACTACCATTTATTTAAATTAAGATCTTTTTTCTTATTATTTTGATCAAGCAATATTCAAAATTAAGGTTATTTTTATTCTAATTAAGTAATAAAACTTAATAATCTTTAAATTATATCAATATCTAATATTTTAATTATAATTAAAAATGTATTTTCCCAAAAATTGTTGAAAAAGATTACAATTGATAAGAATTTTTATTCACTTTCAATATTTTATTATTATAACAAGACAAAAAAATTGTTAAAAAATCTGACTTTTTAAATAATAAAGAATATTTATCAATAAAATTTTTTAACTTACTATATCTATTAGAAAATATCATATTGAAACAATATAATTCAATTTCTAGTAAGTTATATAAGAACTTGAAATCTATTATAAGCTATTTATCTATAATAAATAGATATAAAATTATTGCTCAAAAAAGATTGAAACTAAGCATGATATTAAAAATAAAGAATCTTATTAAATAATAAGTCTCCTTAGATAGTACAATATATGAAAAGAAAATTTAGATCAAGAATATATAAGTTTCTTAAATAGTTAGAAGAAAAAAGAAATTCCAATGACCTGTGGGTCTATAGCACAGTGGTAGTACTTCCAGGTCGCAATCACAAGATCCAGAATTCAATACTACACAAGGACCATGTGAGAAAAATAACCAAGTTGCACAAGGATGGGACTTCTGACCTCCCTGTTGATCACTGGGCTAAAAAGGATCTACCATGAGGATTGCATGAAGAAAAGCCTCTGATCTAGTTACACAAATTATATCTGACCTAGACCCCTCTGAACTGAATAGGATACAAACTCCAGGACCCCACTTTTAGAACTGCGGTAATCGTCTGAACACAACACTAACCCCAGATTATACCAGCAGACTCTGGGACCCTGCTTTTAGGACTGCGGCAATCGTCTAAACATTCCTTACCCCAAAACTGTACCAGCAGACTCTGGAATCTGACCGTCCTAACTTAGAATATCCCAATCCGGTGCTTGCTTAAATAAAGGATCTATCAAATAGAACTTGTCTGTGATGCTGCAGGTGGTGACAAAAAAGAAAGAAATCCCTTCTGAAGTTCAAGTGAAAAGTATCAGGGTATCTGGGTGATTAAAATAACCCTTGAGGATTTGTTACTAGTGTATAAGTTAGTATAGTAGTCCCTTATTAATAGAATTAGCTAACTATACCAATATCACCGTTGATGACTGTTATCAACCATCCGGCCCCTAGTTAGGTGTGCCCACCTACAGGAGGGTTTCAAGCAGGTCTACCTAAGACAAGCCACAATAGGTTATTATTAATCTGTATGTATATATATGAGATGATTGATATAACACTTAAGATTTAATTATCAATAAAGAGCTCGCATCTAATACCAGTTGCAGTTTAAAAATAAATAAATAAATAAAAAAAAAAAAAAAAGAAATTCCAATAACTTGATAGAACATATAATAATGATGACCTGCTAACAATAAAGTGATGAATTAGAAAAGTATTTATTCAAAAATTATTATGAAATGAATATTGTTTCCAAGATCTGACTTAAAGACCATTATTATTTATAATGTGTTTGTCAAATTTGATAGAAATGTTTAACTGTAATATATATTATGTTGCTCAAGTGAAAATGTATTTTCAATTGATTAATAAATTGCAATCTAGCCTGGCTGCGGTACTCAAAAAAAACAAAAAACAAGTTATTATATAGTAATCAATATAATATTAAATATGTTTATTTAATATCTCAATAAAAACATGCTGTAACAGCATAATTGCTGGTTAAAAAAATAAGCTGAAATTTATAATGATTTCGAACTTTGTAAATCACAAAGTTATTTTGTAAATTTTTAAATTGATTTAGACTATAAAATAATTCTTTATAAAGTCTAGAAATATTTTTATTTCTAGCTTGATTATTTTATTTATCAATTGATTCTTGTGAAAAAAAATTTTTTGCTCGAGTTCACCAAGATTAAAAATTTAAATAATAACGTACACCATCCTTTTCCAGTTCGTTTTTTGTATTGAAAAGTTATCTGTTTTCGATGGCAACAGCAATAGATGTTTGTTGGACGATTGGCTAAAAAGTTCACACATCAATAATATACACGAAGCTATCATATGCTTGCACGCAAAATCTATCTCCGGACATCGAAATTAAACTAATAAATCATTGAACCTTGATCTTCGAATTCAACATCTTCCATTTCTTTTTGCAATGTCTCATCACATTCTTTCTTATCTCTTCCAACCTGTCTATCATTGGTTTCTGTTTCAATGATCTTTTTTTCCTTTGTTCTGTTCCCTCGGCTGCTGAAACCAATACCATTATTCAAGTGTCCCCGTCCAAAACTTATAACTTTTGGTATCTTTGGTATAGTAAGTTTTGACATTGACTCCGTGATCGTATCCACGTCCATGACTCTAATAGACTCAGCATCACTAGTTTCCGAGGGTGTTTTCTGTGATTCCTCAGTATTGTTTGGTAATGAAATTTTTGAGGTTGGTTCAAAACATGGATCAGATCGTCCCTTCTTCCCACGACTTTTGCATATTATTGGTTAGCAACAGATAATTACAAAATTAGAACTAGAAAAGTGTGATAATAAAAAAACCTGTGTTGCTTCTTTTTTTTCTTATGTTCTTCAGCTTTTCGGATACTAAATGGTATGATGCCTGTCTTTATGATTGAAAAGTTGAAGGTCTTTGGAAAATGATGCTTGTCGACCAGATGAAGCCTTCGTTTTTTAACTGAATAGAAAAATTTTCCACATTCTTTAACGTAACATTCGTACTATAACAAGCATTTTAGAATGTAATATAAGGAACATTTTCTTCAGACAAAATAAGTAGCAAGTAATTTAATTTACCACTCTTTCATCTTTTTCTTTCTTGATCTGAAAGAAGACATCATGAAATTCTGTCAAATGAAGCTTCATCCAGTATTCACTTGGAAATACTTTATTGCATTGCGCACAAACGTATCGATGCGAAGTATTATAGTGAGCTTCATAGGAGGCAGTCGAAGGAAATTTTAAAGGATGTTTATTGCACCACGGTTGTAGACGACAAACTATCGGATTACGGCTGCGATAAATTCTCTTAATTGAATGACCAATTTGAGAAGCATAAATTTGCAAAGAGTGTGTTCATATTCTTCGTACTTGACCAGCCGCGCAAGTTCCTCCTTAACAACTTGGGAATCATACGTCGAATGCACAAAGATATTTTTGGTCAGCCATTGAGCTCGAGCCTCGAGGTTTCCAAGCCCAAAGAAGGGATCCTCTGGTGCAAATTTTCGTTTTGTCGGACAATAAACTGGAGTAACGGAAATGATATCTTCCATATATGAAGGTATTATTAAAATACTAAATTTCATTTTTAAAAAAATTTTTAGATTACAGATCACATGAATAAACAAAACAATAAATATGAATTCCAATTTGTTGCTATTGATTGATTCAAAAATCAAAAAATTATAAGTTAGAAAAAAAGGAAAAAAAAAATTTGTAAAAAGAAAATAATTTAAGATTTATCAAAAAAGTTCAAAAATAAAAATAACTTTTCTTCAAAAGGAATTTACCTGATTAAAATAATCTTTTTGCTTTACTTGAATTTCAGAAGATTATTATCCTCTATGACTTCAGATAAGTCTATTTAACTGATTCTTTATTTAAGTAAATATTTAATTGAGATATTTAAAGAAAGGTATTTAAACCTTTGCTTTTGCTTATTAAAGTTTTATTATTATCTAAAAAAATTTAATATAAATTTATAAAATAAAAATAATAAAAATAAAAATAAAAATAAAAATCAATAAATAATTTTTTATTATATTAAATTATAAAAAAAAATAATAAAGATAATTTATTTGATAAACTAGAAATAATTACAATTAAAATTTCTATATATGGGTAGTTATTTTTGAAGGTGACAAAAATATTATTTAAAAAATCTTTGATGATCTTTTTTATTTAAAATAATTTAGGTTATTTTTTTCATTTTGAATTTAAAATAAGTTTAATTTTTTTAAAAAATTAAAATACTTATATATCTGTCAATATATAATTATATTTAATATAAAATATATATATATAAATCCTTTCCACTGATTCTTCTTTTTCTTAAAAATTTTCTTTTTTGGCAATTTTTTTGAAAAAAGCAAACCTGATTAAACATACAAGGAAAAATAACATATCTTTTAAATCAAGCTATTAAGCTTTTATAACACATATACAACAAGTCTTTTAGAAACATCAAGAAAAGAGGTATATTCTGTTTTACTAACTTTTCTTTACTTCTTTTTCTTAAAATTTTTAGGAGAAAAAAAAAAGATCTGTAAACTAATTCATAGTCAGAAAAAGGGGGCCAATATCAACTTTACATAGCTTACAGCCAGGCCAGTGTCGGTTAACACCTTTCTTGACATTGCAAAAAACCCAGGAAGCAACTAAGTTTACTTGATAAATCAAGTTATTTCAGTTATTTCAAGATTCAAAAAAATATCAAAGCTTTACAAGGATAAGACAATCTAAATGTATATATACACATAAACAATATATCTATTCTCTATCTTGTTATGCAAATATGATCACATAAAAGTAGATAAGCAAAACAAGTATATATGTAAAAGTAACAAACAAAACACATATATATACAAATAACTTGTGATCCAAATAAGTTAATCGATATTCTACACAAACATAATAACAACTTGCAAAATTTAAATAGAATTTTCAATATCAACAAATAAATATATCAAAACAATACAACAAGATTTTTTCATATTACTTAATCAAAAATATAAACAATAACAATTTTAGAAAGGTTTATCCGTAATCCAAAAATAAAATAACTGATAAATATAAACAAGTATTCACATGACTTATCAATAAATATAAACAATAGCAAATATGAATAGAGTATAATGTATATTACAGATGGTCAATAAAAGAGAAGAGAATATAGTAAACATATTAATCAATCTTTCAATAAAATATGTCAAACACTCTACTTTATGAACTTTACAACAACTATTAAAACAAAGAAATAATAAACCCAGTGGACCAGTAGCCTTATCACTAGAAACATATACTATTTTAGATAGTATCATAGCTAAGATATTAGAAGTAGATATGACAATCTTTCACAAGGAATGAATTTTAACTCAACATATTATATATCTCTAGCAACAAGGCAAAGAGATTAAAGAAGATCTTCTACAATCCTATATTGAAGATAAGCTTATGGAAATTATCAAGAATTCTGAAAGTCAATATAAATCAGAGTGACAATCAATGGAGATCATTGAACAAATAGATAATGAATCAACAATAGACAAAGAAGTAACAATAATATGTACACAGGAGATTGAAAAACTGGAATCACAAAAACTCCAAGAAACAGTAAAAAGACAATGCATTAATGAACATAACTCTTATATTATTAGGAATAGAGACATGGCACCATTAATAAACCCTTACTTTATAAAAAAAAAGAAACTTATAAATTAGGTACAATGATAGTCAATATTCTAGGAGAAATAGAAAATGAAACTAAAGCATATCTAAGCAATACTCTTAAACTTCCACAAGAAAAAAAAAACCTGTTAAGAAAAGAGTTTATCAATAGAAATAAGTGACTAGTTTTTTGGGTACAAGAGGAAGAAGATATTATAAGATACATTAAAGAAATTAATTAAAAGGAAAACAACTTTGGTATCCAAAATATAATATTATTGACCACTTAAAAGAAACAAAAGACAGAAAGAAACCTAGATAGAAAAGTTTTTCAAGAATCTAAAACCAAAGAAGACATTATTATCTGACATATATATTTGGTAGACGTGGATCAGAAAAACAATAAAAATCTTATAAAAGTACATTTAAAAAGATATAGAGAAGTCCAAAACATTATATCTATAAGGTGAATACAAAATCACAAGTGAAAGTCTACATTAAATGGCACAAATATCTTAGCCAAATTCTGAAGAAATTTGGATGACTCTAATTAGTACAGAAATGTCAAGAGCTATATTTTTCAAGTCTAAGCTTAGTGATAATAAAATCAATTAAATATTAATTAAAAAAAATGACAACTCAGCAAGATTTCTAGGTACTAACAAAACCTATACTAGTTTAATAGCCCGAGCATTGAATGGTACATAAGCTAAGGCATGCTATACATCCAAAAATCCCTATACACTCAAAAAGTGTAACTTTACAGTAGTTTGTTTTAAGACAAAAGAAAAAAGAAAAAAGACATGCAAACAATATATTTTTCTACAGGAACATTGTCTCTCATGGAGTATCAAACACACATTCAAAACAAAAAGATGAAATCCTAAAGATAAAGATAGAAATGCAAGATTTGGATCCAAAAATATAGAAATAGACAATAAATCAATACCTGACTTACAATCAGATAACAAATTAATGGAGTCTATTCTAGCAAGTTATCATAGGTTTAGAAATTTGAGACAGAACAGACAGTGAAGCAATAATAAAATAAGGTATGAAAAAAACAATAGAGAAGAATATCCCACAACAGAAAGCAATAGAGAACCTATTAGAAATCAATGAAGCCAAAGAAATAGATTTTCTGAAGTCAGCACAAGACCCAAAATAGAAAGTATACAAGATTCTTTAATGGATATTCTAGCCAACTTAGAAAGACTATATGCTAGAATAGACACCCTAGAAGGACAAACAGGCTTTAGAAGATCAAGACTTAGTAATAAGAGAGCAAACCACTTCTAAAGGCACACCAGTCCTTTATAGTAATTAAGAGGAGCAACAGTCCATTGCTTTCTTATTAAAAACCACAAATATAAATAACAAACAAACTTTAAAAAGTAGTTATAAAATAGAAGAAGAGGAGAATATAAATATTGCAATATTTTTACAAGAAGAACAAGAAAAATTTTTTAACAATAGTAGATATAGACTAATAGAAAAAATCAAAGAAAAGGATGAAATAGATAAAAAGGTAATCAGATTAGGTATATACAATGTTAAAGTAATACAGATAAAACAAGCAACAAAATCTAATTGAAGAGATACTAGAACAAGGAATAGGCATACTAGGGTTATGTGAAACAAAATTGACAAAAGATAATATACAATGGGCTTTCCATAATCAGAAAGACTATAAATACTTCCATAGCACTAACAAAGACACACCATTTGAGGTAAGAGTCAATCTCTTAATCAGAAGAAATCTGGAAAAAAAGATTGCATCAGTAGAGAAAGAAGAAAAATATATTATTGCCACCAATATACTTATGAAAAGAAAAAAGATCTGTATAATACAGATCTATATTTCTTCAGATAAATCAAGAAGCAAAATGGTACAAAATAAGATAACTAGTCTTATTAAAAATAAATATGAACAAGGCTTCCATATGATAGTAATAGGAGATTTTAATGTAGTTTATAACTCATTAGAAGATAGAAAGTCCTCCTTAAAAACAAGTTTCAGATCATCATGGTGATCTAAATTCCTACTATTCAATTTTTTAGATAAATAGAACTTTATAGATATACTATCACATGGGAAGGTAAAGAAAAAACTCTGACAAGAAGAAACCGGACAAGTATTAGTAGAATAGACTATATTTGGATCTTTTATAGTCTAACAAATTATCTACTACTCTGATTTGATAATTAAGATATGAAAGATATTACAGGTAGTAACCATACTATGCTTCTAATAACTTTACATAACAAAGACCTTTTCACAAGAAGCAGAATTACAAAAACTTCTACAAGTATACAAAGGAGAATTGATATAAAGAGTACATCACCATCTCAATAACAAGTATTTAGTGAAAATATAGACCATAAATTTAAAATATAACTAGAACCATTGCTACAAGAAGAACCCAATTTAGATAAAAAAGAGAATCAAGTAAACAAACTATGGGATACCTTCAAAAAATTGTTATGTAAAGCAACCTTTAATAAGCTAGCAACTAAAAAAATATATCAAGCAGAAGAAAAGCACTATAATAACAATACTGAATTCATCAGTTACAGAAAAGTTCTACAACTAAAAAAACTTTACAACAAAGCAGAAACATTAGAAAAAACAGATAAGCTACAGGCCCTCAGCTTAGCTATAGAAAAATATAATAATACTCACAATCCAAATTATCAGATTAAAAACTATTGTTTTTTTTTTTTTTTTTTTAACTCGCAATCATGCCACGATAGCTTGTTTTTATTGAAAAATTGAAATAAAATTTACAATATTTTACAGACTTTCACAAAGTGACTAACCCGTCTTCATACAAAAGTACTCTAAGTCAGATTTTGGGAACAATATTACACTCCCCCAATATATTGA